CGGGGTTATGCAAAATTGAAAATAATTAAGAATAAGAGGGGAACTACCTCATCATTGTTGCAAAGCCATTTGAGCTTTTTATGCTTCTGTTACTTATACAAAGATGAAGCATTTGAAAAATTTTTAGAAATTATTGGTAAGGACAATTAATAAATATTTTTAATCTTTTAAAATTTTTACAAAAAAATTATATATATAAATTTTGGGGCGCCTAATCGATTTTGGGGCGCCTATCGAAACGGTACCAAATTGATATACAGTATGGAACACATAAAGCTGTAAAAAAAAATTTTCAAAACTAATTATTTTTAAAGACGCGTTTTAAATCTTATTCTTAAAAAATAATATGTAAAAAGTATGGTAGAAGTTTTATGTATTGAAAAATAAAAAATTGCTCTTATTAAATACTATTGTTTAAAATTTTAAAAGAATATTTTTTAAAAATGAGGACATTGAAAAATGGAAAAATAATAAGTTTATGAAATTTTTCATCCTCCAAATTTTTAATATAAATTTAGAAAAAAACACACCTTAAAAACGGATAAACATTATTCAAATTTTTTAAAAGGGTGAGTAATTGCATTAAGAAATTCAAATTTTACGTATAAACAAATATCAGAAAAACTTAATATCCCATTATCGTCTTGTCAATTTATAATTTTAAAATATAATAATTATAATACTACAAATCGTAAAATTGGTACAGGTAAATTTTCAAAGATTAACAGAAGTGATTATGAAATAATTAAAGAGATAAAAATAAAAAATAAAAAATTTTCAGCACCTAAATTAAATAAAAAGTTTAGAAATTTAACAGAGAAAAAAATATCAGATAGAACAATGAGAAGAGTTTTGAATGAATTAGATTTTAGTAGTATTAAACCAGTTTCAAAAACAAAATTGACTAAAAGATATAAAATTGCAAGATTAAATTTGACCAAAAAATTTCTTTTTGCAGTAAAGATTATTAGAATGACGTTTTATTCACTGATGAATCGTTTTTTTCAATGTATAATGACTCAGGAAAATATAAAATATGGGTATGTGAAAATGAAGAAAAACCTGTTAATGAAACCATTAAATATGGTAAAAAGAAAACAATGGTTTGGGGATGTATGTCCTCTAAAGATGTCGGTGATTTGCATTTTTTAGATAGAAATATGGATGCATTATACTATGTAGAAATTTTAGCAAATAATTTACCATCGTCAATGTCAAAGTTTGGTTTTGAAAATTTTAAACTTTTGCAGGATGGTGATCCTAAACATATAAGTAAGTTAGCAAGAGAATATTTTGAATTTAACAACATCAAATTAGTAAATTAGGCATCTCATTCACTTGATTTAAACCCAATTGAAAACTTATGGGTTATAATAAAAAGAAGATTAAAGGGTATTAAATTTAATAGTATCAATGAAATGAAAGAAATTGTACAAGAAGTATGGCGAAATATAGATGCTAATATATGTGCAAATATTGTAAATAGTATGTCAAATAGAATAAAAGGTGTTATAAAAGCCAAAGGAGGTCATTCAAAATATTAAATTTTTATTTCAATTTTCTATTGTCCTTTTTTTATTTTTTATTTATTAAATTTTTATTAAATATTTTTCTATTATTATATTATAAATATAAACTTTTAAAAATATGAATAATATATTAAATTATTATGGAATAAATTTTTTATTATATTTCTAGAGGGTTTAAAGGCAATTTTATAATATTTGTATTTTTATATGTCCCATACTGTAATATACTAGTTAATTTGATACAAAAGTATGTTGATAGTTTTTAAAAGATGTGTTTAGAGGTGTAAAAAGCAAAAAAGTATGTCTTGCCCGTATGAGTAGTTGTGTTAATTGTTGTAGTGCTTTGGGTTGAACAGTTTTTTTAATAAACTTAAAACTTTTGTTCATGATAATTTTATTTAATCAATTTTTCTTTTATATTTTTAAAGGAGGTTATCCAATCATTGATCTTAATTAATTTTTATGAGTTGCACAGCTGGGTGCAACAGGCTATAACACTCAATATTAAATTTATTTATGGTTACGCTTTTTTAGACAATTTTTTTAAAATGTTAGCAAAAATTTTTTTCCTTACATAAAATTTATTGTTTTTTAAATTAGCTGTATTTATTATTTAAATATATGTCGTTATTGAAAAAATTTTTATTAAATATTGTATAATAATATTTTTTAAGAAAGATTTAGGTGGTCACGTCTTTTAAGCAATGGTGTAGATAATCTTAAAGTGCTTGTGTTTAATGAAAAAATTTATGTTTACTTTAAAGATTTTCTTAAAATAATAAAATTTATCAAATATGACAACATTGATAGTTACATAGAATCGTTTTTAAACATAGCTGAAAAATGTATACATGCTTACAAAGAAACATAAATTGCCAGAAAGGGAATTGTCTGAAATACGCCTTTCTGGTATGCTTAACTGGCTTCAGATTAAAGCTTCAAGACTTAATGTTTTCAATATTAATGCCTTGCAAATTTCATTAAGGAAAGTTAAAATGAAGTTTTCAGAGATTGAAATAAAGAATAACACAAATAACAAAAAAATTGACAATCAAGAAGGTTCAAATCATAATTTCAATAAATTAAATATGCTTTATTTACCTAATCCATCGAAGTTCAAATCCAGTTCTTCTTCAAATGTTTGAGCTCTGTCGGGTAAAATATGTAGATAAAATCAGGATATACTTATTGACACATGTAGTATTGATCAAAAAAAGTGATCACTTAAAAAAAGAGTAAAAAGACAATATTAAGTATTTTTGACTACAAAAAATATAACAAACACCTCTCTTTTTTAAAAAAATTAAGTAGTAAATAAAAAATAAATTTATACTTTTACAGATAGTTTATAAAAAAATTGTTCAAAAAGTGACTAGTTTAAAATTTAAAATTTAGTGTTATGTTTTTTATTTTTATAAACTTTTAAACAACGTTTATGAAAGCTTATTATAAATTTTAACACCAAACCATTAGGTATTCCATACTAAATCTCTTTGACTTTTTTCTTAATTCATTTTCATTAATTTACCAAATTTTGATAATTTAGTTTTAACATAAACCCACACAGCTTCAATTGGATTAAAAACTTTATTCTAATGGGTTGATCCAAAACATCGATGTTTTTTCATCAATCTAAAAAGCTACAAGTCTAGAGGTGTGTTTTGGGTCATTATCATGTATAAAAATATATTTATCTAGACCCATTTCTCTAGCTTAGTATTCAAATTTTGTAGTAAAATTTTTTTAAAAGCTCCAACTGTCATCGTTGATTTAACTTCAACAAGTCTTCCAACACCTTTAGATGATATGAAAGTTTTTTTTCTTTTTAATATGTTTTAAAGTTCTACAGAGGTTTATAAGCTGGTTTAACAGTTATTAATCCAAAGTTACTCAATACTCTTGCAATAGTAGACCTAGTAATACTTTTTATAAAACTTCTTTCAAATTTATTCTTTATATTCAAAATGATTTGTTTATGATTTGTGTCATAAATTAAATAGATTGCATTTTCATTGTATTATTTAAAATTTTTTTACGACCAGATTCAAATTTTCTGGTGTTTAATAAGTTTTCCAATAAGTTTTTATTTAAATTATAAAGTTTAGTTTTAGAAACTTTTCTTTTTTCTGCAACAACTCTTTGGTTCAATCCTTTTTTCAAATCATCACAAATCAACACTTCAGTTTCAAAATTTTAATATTCTAACTACGGTTATTACAAAAATATTTTTTTATACCAATTTTGAAGGAAAATGAAAAGTGATCTTTTTTAAACAATTTTTTTATATTTTTTATAAACCATCTTTAAAAATATAATTTTTATTTATTTTTCAATACTTGATTTGTTTAAAGAAGAGAGGTTTTTGTTATGTGTTTTGTTATCAAAAATACTTAATATTGTTTTTTTACTCTTTTTTTAAGTGTTCACTTTTTTGATCAATACTATAAGCAAATCATTGTTTCATTACTTCTGGGTTAGTTGAATTTTTTAAATTACAAGCTATTAAACATTCAAAGTCTATTTTAGTAATTTTTAGTAATGGTGAGAAGATAAAACTTAATAAGAAAGTTAATAAAATATTTTCTTCAAGACAAGCGGATTCTATAATTTTTAACCAAGATTTCTTAATAATACCAATGCAAATTATGAACTTATTTTTGTGAAAATTTCTTAAATAGAAATGATGCAATATTATCATTTAAAAATAAAAAGTTAACAACTGGAAGTTAAACTTTCGAAACGCTTATTATTAATGATGATATAGATTTGTTAAACTGTAATGCTATAATATATAATAAAGAATTTTCAGAGGAATTAAATAAAGTCAAAGAAAATTACAATATATCTATTAATCCATCAAAACTTGTTATTAATACATCTTTTAATATTAAACTGAATAATTTGAATACTATTATGTGCAAACCATATGAAGTACCTCAAATATTAATGTTTGAACTTAAGGAGTATATTAAAGAGATTTTAGACAAAAATATAAACAAAGAGTTAATTACTTCATATGGAATACCTTGTTTTGTGAAACATAAACCAAATGGTTGACTATGCTTACTTATTGATTATAGGAAGCTAAATTTAGTATAGTTGATGATGCTTATTGTTTTCTTTCAATGAAAGGAATCATTTTTGGGTTAAGTAGATCAAAATACTTCTCCCTATTATATTTGGAGAAAGAATATTACTAAATAAAATTGATTAAAATAATACAAAGAAAACTTTATTTGTGGTTCCAAGTGGTCTTTATGATTTTTTACGAATGTATTTTGGATTAAAAAATACATCTCGGGTTTTCTAAAGGTCATGCAACAGATTCTCAACAGGTTATTATTTACTAAAGTATATCTTGATGATATATTAATTTATGATAAGATAATTACAGATCGTATTAAATACTACAAGTTTATGATAAACAGACTAAAAAAGCTTAATATTAAAATCAATTTCGACAAAAATAAATTCATGTAACTAAAAGTAAAACAGTTGAGATTTATAATAAACAATAAAGAAATTAACTCTGATCTTGATAAAGTAAACCATATTCGTAATTTATAGATTTTTCAAAACATTAGACAACTTCAAAAATTCTTGAGTGTGTTAATTGGTTAAGAATTTTTTTGCAAAAACTAAGTTATATATTGAAACCTTTTATTGACAAGCTTAAATCTGATAGTGCAAAAAGTTTTAAATGGTAAGATAATGATGAAAATATCAGATTAAAGAATTTTGATTTAATATGTAAACAAGTTATACTGATACACCCTAACTACACGGAATAATTTGAATTATATACAGACGCTTCTGAAGTAGGACTGTCTGCACTCTTTTTCCAAGAACAAAACTTAATCACTGTATACAGTTAGAAATTCTTCTAACAGAAAAGACTTATACTGCTGTTGAAAAGACTTGCTTAGTATTATAAAAGGTCTCAAATAATTTTCAATATGATATGAGGTTATTCAATAATTGTCTACACATACTCAAAAAGCCTTACATTCATTGAATATCCGGATCAAAACCTTTTTTTTTCAAAGCAAAAAATAATTCTTTTTTTCCCAGAAAAATAAACAAAAGAATAATTAAAAATAAATTTATTAAA